TATATATATATATATACACACTATGCACGTAATATAAGAATAATTATTTAAATAAAGGTATTTTTATAATATACGTTATATATTCTTGAAAATTATGCTCATTTATATTATTATGTTTCTATAAACTTTCCGACGACACAAAGTTATATCACCGGAAAGCAGGGGGACTATCTCTATAGGGTAAAATATGCTATGTTAAGTCGTGCATGGAATATATATATGCTATGTTAAGTCATAATATTAAAAAGTTTAAAAAAAATAAAAAGAAGATAAATGTTTATAACTTAGAGGGTAAAATAGGTATTTGGCAATCTAAAATTTGAAAAATCTAGTTGAGTGACCTTCTGAGTGCAATATGCATAGTTCAGTGACTTTGTTGTTACAAATGAAAGAAAAGTGACTTTAGGAGATAATTTGGGATAGTTGAGTGACCATTTGAGTAATGAACTCGTTTTTTTGGCTCTTTACAAACTTGTTTTTAGTTTTATGACCCTACTTTTTTTTTATTACATGGGAAATTTATTTTTACACTTAAGAGATCTCACTTTTAATCAAAAAATATTATTTTCTTAAATTTAAATTTTTAAAGTGGCATGATATACAAATAGCACTTCAAAATTGGATCTTTTTCCAAAAAATAAACAAAAAGATCACTAAAATTGAATCTAGCCTCGCTCTACCGAGTCCTTTCTTCATTCTTCTTCGATAGCATAATTTCAGAATCGTTTCTTTTCCAGTGTTACAGTAGGAAAATCTTTACTCATACAACTCCACTGTTTCCTCTTCCCTTCCATTTCTCAAAATGGAACCAGACCACAACAGCTCCACCCCACCACCGTCCACCCCCTTTCACCACCACCACGACGGCGCAGGAACCTGCGTCAACTGCGGCGGACCCACCGCGTTCCCTACACCGCCGCCTGATCCCAACCCCAACTACATCCCCATTCGCGCTCCGGCCGTCAACCTTCCACCGGCCAATAACAGAGAAATCATCATCCGAACCCCTGTTCCTCAATCACAGCGAATCATTCCCCTAACTCCCCCTTTTCATTTCCAAACCCCAACCAAAAAAATCCACTCCCAAAGCGACATCGATCAGTTCCACTCCTCTCCCACTTGCCATAACTTCCTCGGCTTTATCGTTTCACTCTCCGAGTCCGTTCGTTCTCACAAGCTCTCCGATCCTTGCCACGTGTCGTCTCCAGTTTCAGCCATTGTTTCCGTTCTCCAAACCCTAATTGCCTACGTGGATGAGATTCCCTTAGCGCCTCAGACCTCTCGATACGGAAACTTGGCGTACCGTACGTGGCACGAGCGCATGAGCTGTGATGCTGAGTCATTCATGCTTCAGTTCCTGCCTACCAATCTCCATTCTGCTACTGTTGAGCTTGTTCCTTACTTTACTGATAGCTTTGGGAACTCCAGCAGAATTGACTATGGTATGATTTCTGACATTGTGATGTTATTAATGGATTAATCTCAATGCCCAATTTGTTGGGCTTGGCCATGTTAATCCTCTGTATGTTTTTGTACTAGCTGTCAACTTATACTAGCCGTTTTCAAGATTTATACATTTAGAAAATATACAGAACATAAAATACTTTTATGTGTATTTGCTTAATATTGGCATGGGATGAGTTTAAATGGAGTAACATGGTCAGTAACGATTCGTATAGCCGACCCCGACTTGTTTGGTATTTAGGTGTAATTTTGCTGTTGTCAACTTTAGCAACCCTTTCCTTTATCCGCTCTTGAGAAGCTCACATAGGCAGAATTAACTATGTGTTGTTAACTGATTTTTTTTTTGGAGTTTTGTTGTTTTTCTTTGCATAATCAGAGTGAGGAACTTTTTCTTGTTAAACAATTGGAAAAATGTGAAATGTGATTAATAGTACTAAGTTAGGTGCACTTTGGTGTTAGGTTATTCATAAAGTGTTAATGTTGGTGAGTAATGTATGATTCAGTGATCTTTTTCTTGTGGAATTATATGATGATAACATAAAAATCCTTGTAAAGGTGAGCTGTCCCGTAGTAACAAAATTATTTACTTTATTAAAAAAAAGATGTGTGATTTAACAATCATATACATAAAGTACGTGTTAAAAGAATGGTATAATACATGAGGTATTGAATATTGATGTTGCCTCTATATCTGAGTTGAATCTTTAATGTCTTTGCCGGTAGCAATCTTTTCGTAGTGTTCACTCATCTTCCTGTGGGATAGTGTTGGTGGATGTAAAGTACATCAACATATACTTTAGCGTAAAATAAGTTTAATCATGATCGCGAGTTTAAAAGTGAACAACTTCTAAAGCTTGTCCCCTCTGGGAAA